CTTCTTTAACACTCACTTTTTCTTCCAAGACTTTGTTTTTGGCATCGAATCCCACAGTTACATTAAATATGTGCACTTTTAACATTCCTCAGCTTTTGTCGATTTTTGCCGTTGTCTCACCAATTTTTAATGCCACTTGTCGTTGCCCTGCTTGCATTTGCTGCATTGATTGCAGCAACACATCGAGAAGCTATGTACTTGTATTACCGTCGCTTTTTGCTCCGCTATGTATGTTCTGGGTTATGGTTGTACAGTCTACCTCTTCGTCATCGTCACATTTAAATTCATGTGATAAAAAGTCCTTTCTCTCTTGCTGCAGTTGCCGTCTTAGCTGTTATTTTACTTCAGCCTTAGCACCAGGTGGGCGTAGCTATCTTCTTTTAGCTCTTATTTCAACTGTCCAACACTGTTAGAATACCAGACTCGATCACTATTTCTGCTATCAATCACAATTGCACTTCTGACACCAGTGTAACGTAAAACGCCCTTTCTGATTTTACGTATTTATCCGACTCCCTTTGAAATTGAGTTAGTGCCACTGAATTTTTAGAGGAGCGTAGTTTTTCTAAATAATTCTTAGGAGATCTATTTACAAATTATCTACAGGCTGCTACTGGCTTTGCCCCTTCGAATATTATCACTTAATTCTCTCGACTAGGTAACTTTGCTTACGCAAATATTTTCCTTGTATATCCTCTTACAAGCAAATTTGACATTTTGACATATGACATTTTTATGCTAGTACTTTTTCACCTGTCAAATTTTCTGTGAATTGCTTTCAAGCTTTCCATGAGTCACTAGATGCGTCGGCAGGTACAGCGTCAGGAATGTGTATTTTGTTCTACCATTTTTAGAACTTGGTTTGGCAACTCTGCGCGTACGCTGTGCTCGTATTTTTCACTTTGTGGGTAGAAATTTTGCAACTGCGTCTTTTTTTTATTGATTTACACGATTTAAAGCCTGTAAAGAAACGTTTTTGCTTCCTTACTATTAACAGGTCCGTCCGCTTAGATGTCTACCCATAGACCCTGGCAACATTCAGTCCAGTTGCTCCGTCCACGCGAAAACCTAAATACCTGTGGGTAGGGCACACCTTCAGCCGCCTTTGGCCCCAACGTAAGGTAAGGAACAGTTAACCGTATAAACGGCAAAGCTTAAATATTACACAAAGTTTGTATAAAACATACACACGAGTATAGAATATGTATAGTCTGTACAAAATCTGTATAAATCTGTATTAAATCTGGATAAAAGTAGAATCTGTACAAAACGGGTAGAAAACCATATAGAGAAGGGTATATTACTGTTAGGCCATTTCAACATATAGAAAGCTGTATGCTTTAAAAGGTATAAACACACACACTATGAACCATAGCATCACATATAGCAATGTATGCGCAAAATGTGTAAACACATACGGCAAAAACACACATGCTGTACTGTATAAACGCTGTTAGGCCATATAATCAGGTAGAACCCTTAAGCTTTACAATATATGAGCATACATGATCATGCAAAACGCATAGACTCAAGCAACACGCAAGTCTGTATACTTTAAAATGTATAAGCACATGCGATCATAGGAAAGCGCATAAACTGTAGAAACAATGCACAAAAATGTATAGCACCGTTAGGTCATATAAAAATCGTGAAGCAACGTACAAAAATGTATAACACCGTTAGGCCAAACAAAAACATATACTCAGGGATAAACACTTAGGTATAAAAGTGTATAGCACAGATGAACATATAACAATGCAAAGGCGTAGGATCACGCATGCCAAACATGTAAACACACAAATATAAACATGGATACACACATTATAAACAGAAAATACCCTTACTCCACATAAACGTAAGCTAAGTATTGTGCACAAAGGTTAAGAAACATAGCACTCACACACCTAACGGTGAATAAATCACGCGATTCGGTACCTGGGTGCATGTTGAGTAACACATATGAATAAGTTAGCAATAAGATTGGCAGAAGTTGGCACATGGGGAGGACTAGTATTAAGTTAGGTATAAGTAATTTCATGCGAGTCGTAACTAAGGTTGCGTCAAACCCGGCGAAGCCAACCTAAACTAAGTATATACATAAGTATAGTACTTTAAGGCAGATGTAAACGCATAGAACATGTTGGCAATGGGACAAGCGAGCTAGACTTCAGCTATAAAAGAGCAGCTCATCACACAGAATCGTTCAATTTGGTTTCATAGCGGCCTAAGGTAAGTGGGTACGGACAACTTTACAAGTGACCTTTATGAAGTTTTTTTGACTTACGGATAGGGGATGTGCTGGTTCAGCTTTTAGTCGCCATCCCTGAAGGACTTTTAGGACTACTGACTTTACGGATAGGGGATGTGCTGGTTCAGCTTTTAATCGCCATCCCTGAAGGACTGAGGAACATCCTTTTTGCACGAATAATCAACCGGAGACGAACCGTCGGCCCAGAGAGCCAAGGCAGCTATGACACTGGCAACGCTTCCGTTTTCTTGTAGTTCTCCGCGATAAATCAAAGAAAAAGATAAATAAATCTCTCACCACGTGTAAGCCACACCAGAAGTCGGGTCACCTCGCTGGCTCCTGGCCAGCCTCTACACAACGCTGCACTCTTCTTGAGAAAAAATAAGGGAAATTTTAAACTATCCCCCCCGAAGGTCCAGAACGTTTCATTTTAAATAGTCTTGCAACGAGCCCCGGATTGGCCGAGTTCCACCCCCGCTAAGAAGACTCGTTACAAGCCTATAGTGTTTAAATCTATTGAAATATATTGAAGTTTACTTGTAATTTATCTTTACTGCATTTTTCTGCGTATTGATATCATTTTGGTTTTTCCGATTAGTACTTGGAGCTCTCTTCAAAACGTTTCTTTCTTGTTTCTTGTTTTTTTCTCCTTGTTACTTTCAAACATCTCCCTTCGTTTGAATAGTTTACAGTTTTTCTGCTTGTGTACTGTATTTTGTGTATGCGTGTCAATTTAACACAACATTTTGAATAAGAGACAAACCTTTTGGTTTTTTTTTCACGTACAGTATTTTGTCTGTTGCTTTCTGACATTGATTGTTTATTTACGTCATGTCGAACCAAAGCCAGCCCAGATTCTGAGCGAATCATTAGTTGTTGGCTTTGCTTGTATTACTCGACCGTGCTGCAGACACAATCCTAGATCCTTCGAAAGGATTACATTGGTCATGTCTCGACTGAAGAAGGGGGGCTTTTACAAGCTTTTCAGGGAAATAAGGAATAGTTATTCTGATTTAAGTAAAGAGCTCCTGATATTGTGCGGAAAATTTAAAAAAATTAAAACAATGTTGAGTGTCGCTACCTGGAGCACTCATCTTCTTCTCCAATATATAAAAGAATAGTGTAGCGTCCGGTATTTCATCTCCCTCTTCCCGTAAATCTCATCATCAACGATAAAACTTGTACATCTGTCATTGGCGAATTCACTTAAGATAACGAATGTTCCATGCTTGCTTGCAAAGAACGTTAGCATTTCCTCCAACGTAAACTTAGCTGGTAATACAAACATTACAAATAAGCCGGGAAGCCCACCTCGTGTCAGTTATGCTGAGGTGGTAAAAGTGTCTCCTCCTAGTGGTGTCATTCAGTCTAGTCAGTCTGAGGATAACATAAAAAGTTTTTCTGCTGCAAAAGTTTGAAGCGTGTTAGCATTTTCAAATTGGCTCCATCCCAACATAAAGCTATGTCCTCCTTTAAGGTGTTAGTTCCGATTGAAAACACGGAAATTTTGTTAAATAAACCCTGTGGCTTTTTAGATTTGGGGACCTCATCCACGCATGTTATTGCAGATACTTTCAATGAATAAAATACTCACTGCTTATTAATCCTAAATATTTTTATAAGTTTGTGAACTCACAAAAAAAATCTTCTTATATCCCTCGCAAGTTTCTTCTAATGGCTCCGAGTCCTCTTGTTATGTTCAAACCTCAAATCTCTGTACTGAACACTCCCAACGACATTTTTCAACTGCTGATTCCGATTTACTGTTAACGATCCACATCAGATCACTAAGTCGGCTTCGATTCCTAACTTGATTATTTCAGAAAATGACGTTTCACATGGGTTGAGATCTACAAACAATAGTTGTTCGCCTGGGCCTGATGGCATTCCATCTTGTACACTTAGATCATGCTCTAACGAGCTTTGTGGTGTTATTTCAAAGAATGTATCAATTTTTGTTGGAAGAGTAGTTTCCTTAACAAATGTGGAAGCGCACATCGCGTTGAGAACTATAGAGTCATTCCCATGTTGAGTGTCTTAGCTAATTTGTTTAAACGACTTGTTACTCAATATTTAGCTTTTGCTGTCAAGTCTTATTTTTCTCCATTCTAGCCTACTTTCTGAAACGAAGATCAGCTATTACGAATCTCTTAGACTTCACTTGCCATGTTTTTAAGTGGTTCTCGCACGGACGGCGTATATACTAATGTTAGTAGAGAGGTTGAGATTCCAATTTCTATCCAACAAACGCACCACGAAAGGTTGCACTCAAGAAATGCGCGTGTCCATGGGGACAGACGAGCAGTCGCAACTTACTGGATAGGCTGTTATGCCCTGGACCACTCTACCCTTTGCCGCACTTTTGGCCCATATGTTTTTGCGGGGCATCCAGAGGTTGGGTCCCCAGACCCTTTTAGCTTACTTTCTTCCTTTAAACAAAAATTGTAGTATTCTTCTTTATTTATAACATAATATAAAAAGAAGTTTTTATTGATATACTTATTTGTGTATATATTTACTTTGAAATAGTGACGATATATAAATATAATATTCTTAAGGAAACAATTAGCAAAAAAAGTATGTCATGTTCATTGTTTTCAATGGTCAAAGGAACCCCATTAACAACAACCACCAAAAATACCTATCCTCGCCAGTATCGCTAGTGTCCACGAGGAGTAAACTCGCTTATAAAAAATTCAAAATATTCATCTCCCTTCAATTGCACAACATATCGCTTTTACCACCTATCTTTTGGCCAAACCGATATTTCTACTCTTTAATGGACACATATAGTAAAGAAGCACTTACACTTTTGACTATCGACGAGCCTGCGCCTCTACTGATTAAAATTGTCTCATCATCAAATTTTTTTGTTTATAAGGTAGTAGGTGGTACAAGTAAGTATCTGGTTATTTTCGCTGCCATCGTTTGCATTGAGATACATCACGAAAATAAATGCAAATAAAGCAAGGATTTTACTAGACGAATTGGTGTAGGATTTCTACAGTTGGCCTTACCAAACTATTATATTCTTATATGTTTTGATTTATACTTTGGCCGTACTAACCTGCGGTGTTCGTTCATTTTTAACTCAAAAAAAAGGAAATTATTTTCAATTAACAATTACTTGCAAAGTGTAAGAAAAAGTTAATATTTATATTGTTCATTATTTTCAATCTAATATAATAATATCAGCGGACGTTTCGTTGGCTGTGTTATTTTTATCATGTAACTGACAAGCCTTTTGTCTTTCTGCTAGTTTCTCCTGCAAAGTCTTCGTCGAATTAATAGAAGTTACTGCAGAGCACACTTGTGGGATTCGTGAAAATATTGTAGCGTGAGCTGAAGCACAGCCCGTTTCTGATAAGCAAGAGATTGCTGATGAAGTTGATGGTTTAATTGGCTCTGAAGATGTTAAGGTATTATAAACTGAAGGTCCGTGCATGGTAACATTTTGAATGTCATTTATATTTGACAAAGGATTTAAAGTACTTGCACCTGGAATATTTGATATTTGTGTATTTAGGATTTGCTCTGTATTTCCCGTAGGATTACTTTGAAGTAGATTTGCATATGCGGCCAATATATTTGTATGATTACCAAGAGTTTTAAATATATTTAAAATCTCCATGACATTTTGATTTTCTCTGCTTATATTTTCGATATCAATAGAACGATTGTATGGCTTTTTGATTGCATTTCCTTTTTTTAAAATATTCTTGCCCTTATTTGCAAGTTTGGAAATTGAAACGTCATTTTCCTGAATATGCTGCACTTCCTCAATTTGAATTACATCTGCTTCCCGTTTCATCGCTTTTATTGGAATTACGGAAACAGAGGACTTATTTAAAGACTTTGCGAAAACACTCGCATTTTCAACTGGTAACCTATTGTCTTCTATACAAAATGTCTTATTCTCATTTTCCTGAAGCTTTGCGTAGTATTCTTCAAATAGTCCTTGAAATTTAGTTGAGTCCTGCAAAAGACGTAAATAAAAACATGTAGCTTTTTATTCTAAAGGAGTAACAACACACTTACCTTATTCAATGTCATACCATCAAATATGATAGGTTGAAATTGTGAAGGTGTCATTAGATCTGCAAATGACACTTCAGTTGAAGGATGGTTTTCAATCTTTATTGGCTGTTTTAACGTTGCTAATTTGGTTACTACAGTTCGAAGTTTGGGCTTCGTTGATAAGCCGGGTATATGAAAAGTTCTTGACACCTGCAGCGTATACATGTAATCATAAAAAAATTTCATCTCGTCATTGGAAGAAAGTCAAATAAAACGTTATAGCAATACAAGTTCGACCTTGGAATGTTCTATATCTAATATAAAAAGTTAAAAATTTAGTAAACTTATAAAAATGACACTTTGAAAATCTTACAACACAGAGGAAAGAAAAGATCAAACGAAAAAAGAAAAATTATTACTTTCTTTAATATTAATTAATATAATTTACAAGAAAATTTATTATTTTCAAACTATTATCGTCAAAAAAGTTCAAAAAGTATACCTTCTCATATAAAAGCCAGCTTCCCACATTATGTCTTATAAACAGAAGAAGAACTTCCACAATAAAATATCAAAAATTAGATTTTGTTGTCATATAGGGATTTATTTCTGTTTAGAGTCATTTTATGGAAGCAAATCAAAAAATGACACCTTTCATGAAAACTTTTCCAGGTTTAATGTGAGGAAATATTATTTTTCAGAGATTTTTATTGACACATACTAACAATGAGAAAGTCTTGTCATATGACGATCTTTTTTTATTAGCAATTTACATGTGGAGTAGTGAACGTAATCGTGGTCCAATTCAACTTATATGCAGTTCGGCCAAGCCATGTTGGCTTACCAAATGTCATTGTTATCCTAATGAATTTATTTTTAAAACTGCGACTTGTAGGTTTAACATAAGAATATGTGTTTGGCCATTGCACAGAAAAAAAAACCGAAAACCCTAAATCGATTCAGAAACAGAATCTTGCTTAATTGGCGTAGTAAAAAGTGGATCTATCTCATGTCGGTCTGAGTGCTGCATGTAGCCGCAAAAATGTAGAAAATCCTTATTAGAACAGATGTAGAGTAGAATAATAATTGGCTAATGTCTCTACTACAAATATACTAAAAAATTTAATACTAACAGAGGATTTCAGTAATGACTGTTGGATAATAGGCAATTTGAAAAAGGGTCGAACCTTTGAAATTTGCAAACAAAATTTTATGTTCAAATTACGCTAAATTGTATATTTCAAAGCAAATTTTTTTTCTAATAATATGTTTCCAGCTATCAGGAACAGCTAACGTATAAACAATCATTACCAGAAGTAATGCATCCTCCAACTACCGTGGTTAAATAATACTTCTATACATATGTTGATCGTTTTGTGTTCACACCCACATTTGTAATTTGCTTGAAAAACTTCTTGACGTCTCAAACCATTCCAACACATTAAAAAATTCACATTCTCATTGGAGAGAGGGTGAAAAACATTAGCTTAACTAAAATAAGCTAAATCTAGACATTTTCATAATAAATATCGTAAAAAGAAAAACGAAAAAAAGGCATATTTATCAAGGAAGCCCATCTCACCGTTGCCGTTGGTTGAAGTAGAAAATGATCTACTGGACTGACAGTATCTGCTTGACTTTTTTCAAGATTTTTCAACACGGAAATTTCTTGCACACATAGCTTAATAGCCAAGTCGACGAAATTAACACTTTCTGGCACATGATCAATTTTATCCTTTATGAAAAACTTGTAGACTTCGACTAGCAGATGCGTAAAAATAACTTCCTTTTGGCTCATGTATTTCAAACATTTTTTGTGAATTTTATATATGTCAATAAGAAGGTTTAGAGTTTCCATATCATTTCGAGTATCTACGTTTTTCTGAAAAATTCCTCGTAAGATTTGTACACAATATGTTAAAGATTGTTGAAATAATTCTTTACGCTCGTTATCGGTTATATAACGCCTAAAAATATTTAAAATTAGTTATTGCCTTGATAAATATAAATATTTTTTTTTACTTACTTGTCTACGTCCGGTGTTTTATGCAGATGTAGCCCAACATCGATCATTAATTTGTACTTGTTCGTTTTGAGCAGTAATTGTATTAAAATATTAATACATTTGGCCAAATGTGTGGAGAAATTTCCAGGTCGATCGATTTCTGGAGAAGGTATGCGCCATATACCATTGAAGATATTGCTATTTTTTCGATCGTAAAATAAACCATTTATTGTATTTCCTAAACTAGTTTTATATTGTCCCAATAATAATTGTTCACATTTCTCGTAATCAAGTCGATTAGGAAGAGAGTACATATAATGGTATGTTAAACGGTATATTGATTTGTAATGTTCTGGAAAACGAGTAACACACTCCTCGATATTTTGTACCACACTTTTAAATATTGCCTCAAGCTCTGCACACGAGTACAAACGGCTATTACGATTAGGGTCAGTTTCATGCTCTGAAGAAGCATCCGTGTCGCTTTCACTTTCGCTAGACGACGACTCCGAAGTTTTACTAATTGTTGGCGTAGTTAGAGTTTCCTTAAAATAAAAAAATTTTTAATTTTAACTCTTGATTGTAAAAGAAATGAGATGAACATTAAAGACATAACGAAATACTCAATGAATATGAATGTGCCCTAAATTTATACATTCTTTACCACAAATAAGATAGAATGTTTGTTTGACATCAAATTTTACTGCAAAAATATTTTAAAATTCGGCTAAATCCGTCTATAATAGTTAGCAATATGAAAAATAGACAAGACCCCAGAGTCCATAAAATAGCTTCCAGTAGTGAGTGAGATATATATATGTAGCAATAACAGTTCATTGCCAAACGAAATTGTCAGCATACTTTATGCGAAAGTAATACATTAACAATCATGTGACTGACAATCTTATAAAAAAATTATTATTATTATTAACCTGTGATGTAAAAAAAGAGTGGTGCAAGAGAAGCTAATGATTCTACCATGCGTGCCTGGCTGTTCGATATGTGTTTTATGCTAGCGAAGTAGTTGAGCCATTGTCCTTTGAAATAAAGAAGTATGGTTCTTTGAAATGAAGCCAGAAATATTGTTGTAATGAGCGTAAAAATAATCTCGTCCATTTTTACATCTCCAGCTACGTAGCCCTTTCGATGCACACCTATCCCTTTGAAAAAAAGGCTATACTTAGTGAAAGTTATAGAGGGATAAGTGTGAGTGTTATAATCTTGGTCTTGTCGGGAGACCCTCAAGACAGCCATTTAGACACTATTCCATTTATTCTTAATGATTTCCCGATCGTTATTAAGTATGATAAACTTCTGATATATGCAAACGATATTTATCTTTTTAATCCTCAGAAGTTCCACAGCTGCTACGCATCGGCGCTATACCGTAAAGTCTTAATGCACTTAAACTTGCGTATATTAATAACGTTGAACTGAAAAAAGTCTGGTCATTTGCCGGTGGTTGAAGGAACTCGAAGTTTGTAATGAAAAAATTATTCATGCGTCTGGTCATGTCAGTTCGTGAAAATGAATCATTACGTTAGTTGCCTAGTTATCAATACTATATTGAGTTAATTGAATCAGTCTAAAAACAGTTGTGCTACGCAATTGTAGCGGGGGTCCCACGTACTCGTTGCTATGTAATGAACACACGCTTAGGGTAATTGACTTATCTTCGATGGAAAGACAAAAATTTTTGTTATAGGGGCAACTTCTATATGTGATCTAGTGAGCTGAAGAATAAACGCTTCGGCCTTATTAAGTGAAATTCACAATTAAAGTACAGCGCCGCGTAACTCACCAAATTTCATTTAATTAATCTTATTCAATGTGGATTCTATTTTGGGCCATTTAACCCCTTTCGCTTTCTTTGTGGCAATTTTAATAACGTTTATTATTTAATTTCTACATCCGATTCTAAGGATATAGTCAAAGAATGCCTGTTCCGACATCTTTAACCTTCAAATAAACGGTAACCAAACTTTGTTGTTACAAGAAAGTTTTTGGCGAAAGCACCGCACTTCCTTATACATACTTAATAATTAGATAAGGTATCTTAGAGTTGCGTATAATAGTCACAGTTCTTCTGAGTTCTTTACATCCCTTTTTAGCATGGTACGTACACAATGGTTAAATTCGATGATTTAAACCTTTCTTTGTATGAATTAACAGTTTGCCACTTCGTATTACTGCGCTATTCAGCGTATAAACACGTTAAGCATAGAACGCTCAAAACTGCATATTCGACGTTCATTACTTTTATTGCTGGATTTGAAGAAATCCGTTGCCAAAGCTCATCAAACACTTTTAGAAGCTTATGGAGATCCTTAAACTGTTAAAAACCTTAAACTGTTTAAACGTGGTGATTTTGATGTGAATGACAATGAATTGCAAGGCTCATCGGACGAAAACGCAGCACAAACCCTCAAAAAATTTTCGAAGAATGGGAAAGATCCAAAAGAAAAATGGCTAAAGTACGAAAATGCCATTTCGAATCGTTTCAACATCGCGGGTTCATTGCTTACCAGGCGAGCAAGATGAGTTTTCTCTGGTGTATCGTGATTGACGATGAAAAATGGATGTACTACGAAAATCCCAAGCGCCAAAAGTTATGGGTTAGTCCAGTAGCGCCATTCACATTGACACCGAAGGGGAATATTCATGGCTATAAAGTTTTTCTATGCCTATGATAGGATCAGCAAGGAGTGGTTTATTGCGAGCAGCTAAAACAGAATAATACATGTTACTACAAATGTCTACCGACATCAGTTAAACAAATTGAACGATGTATAGTTGCAAGAAGGACCAGCAATACGGGTTGACAGACGCAAAATCGACAGCGCGGCCACAAAGATACACTGTGCCAGCTCGAATGAAGAGTTATCTTTAGTTCATTATTTAAATATAACAAATAAGTAAATAAAAAAACAAACAAATACAACTCCAATCCATCGAAGTTGCAATCTTGCTCTGCAACTCAATCTGCAAAGTTGCGCTTCGAATCGTTTTTCCGTTCAATCCAAGAGATATTGCCTTTGCGATCTTTGCAAAGATGTTTATTACAACGACTGTGTAATCTCTAAAAACGCCAATGCCGGCTTGTGACATTGAACCTTTTCTTTGAGTTATGTTAAATTATTAATTCACTAAAATAAACCAGAAATGCTCATTTACAAACTAACGCTCAACGCAGATACAATACATTTAAGCAAACGGCAGCTGAAATACTTTGTTTTTACGTGTTTTTTTGTGTTAAATTGTGTTGCATCAAATTAAAGGAAAACAAATTAAAAAGAAAAAATAATAATTAAAATAAATTGTTACTGATTACAATTTTAAGTGACAAATTACACTTTCCATTTAATTAACAACCTCATGAGTTGCTTTTTTCTTTCGGATTTTGCGTAAGTGTTTCTCAGAGTAGCATCCACAACAGTCAAAACATTACCAGTCTGTCTTTCTATGGAGGCACGATTTGATTCGATATTGTATGTAAATTTGACTTCGAAAATTATTTTTTGAATATTACTGAAAAGAGTAAGAAATCGAGTATGGCCGGGAATATTGTCGAGTTATCTCCATATCCCACCGATCCAACAGTGCTAAAAAGCCAGGTTTATAAGGACCTGTCCGCTTTGTGTGCCAAATGTACTTCAAATCCTTAAATCAATTTACAGATTTTGGTATGCTATATAATTTCTTCGTCCTTTTTGAAACCCGTAGAAACGCTGAAGGTAAAAAAAAATATTTCTTCCTACCTTTTCTTTCACAATTACCTTAAAAGTTTTGGGATGTTTGATTTAAAAAGAGTTTATTTATTTATTTATTCATTCATTTATACATGGAATTCAACTAAAGAAAATTACAGCCGAATTTAGTGCATCTTAGAATATGGAATAGAATATAGAATAGAATAGAAAATCTTATACTAATTGTTTTAAATTTAGTATACAATAAAAAGGAACAAAAAGAAGAATAACAATAACAAAGTAAGTTTGAAAATAAACTAACAAATTAAAAATAATTCATGTACAAATAAATAAAAAGAGAGAAAAAAAAAGAAAAAAACATGTAGACCACTAGCACAGAAGCACACCCGCAACAAGATCAAATCCAGGTTGCAAGTGAACCCCTAAACCATTGCAAACATGCATAAACTTGGCAACCAACACATTAACAAGACAATATTATTTTAGATAAAAAATGAAATCTTAAGAATCAAATGTTAGTTTAATTACGGCAGAAGTAAATTGCGCATATTTAGCAAAGTTGCTTTAATAGACTTTAAGTGATAGACATTATTTAGGTTTCTGCAAACAACTCTGAGCGACTTAAACAGCTCATAGTTGTATTTACATTGACTAAGCTTAATCAAAATAAAGTGCGTAGAAAAACGGTTAGGGACATTTAAGCTTATCTCACCAAGTAATGCGGGCGATTCAATAGTACCATTTATTACTTTGATTAAGAAGGAAACCCCAAGAACAAATCTACGTTTCTCCAGTGACGGTAAGGATAACAGAAGCAAACTATTTTCATAGAGTGGACGATTCAATTGAATCTACACACAACCTTTATGAAGGAGACCACACAACAGAGGCATACTCAAGTATAGGTCTAACTAAACACATGTAAAGCCTTTTCGTCATATAAGGATCACCAAGCTCTCTGGACCACCTCTTTATAAAATCAAGCCCGGCCCTTGCTTTGCTTAACAAGAGCTCAATAAGCAAATTGAAACGTAAGTTATAATCAAAGAGAACGCCTAAATCTGTGAACGAATCGATGTTTTCCAACTTGTGCGAATCAATGAAATATTGAGTACTAAACGACTTCCTTCTTAAGATAGAAAGCTTCTTACATTTATTTAGATTTGGTTTCAGAAGATTGAAAGAGCATCATGCAACCAAATTATTCAAATCACTTTGAAGGTGATGTGATTGCGATTCTACGGAAAAGGAAGAAAACAGTTTCACATCATCAGCATACATTAAGATCTCGCTGAATTTAATCACGGAGGGCAAATCATTGATGTATAAATTAAATAAAATGGGTCCTAAGTGGCTACCTTGAGCTACGCCAGACGTCACGGGGAATTCATCCAAGGTAATGAGGTTAAATAAAACCCTGAATGATCTACCATGCAGATAAGAGCTTAACCATTCCACTAAGAAGAAAGGTAAGCCAGAGGCTTGGAGTTTAAAGATCAGTAAGTTACGGTTAACAAAATCAAACGCTTTGCTTAAATCAGTGTATATAACATCTGTGCGAGAGCCACTAGAAAAAGTCTTGAAAACATGACAACTAAACTCTAACAGATTGGTGACCGTAGATCTTCCCTTTCGAAAATTATTTTGGAGAGGAGAAATATACGATTCCATGGAAAAGGCTATATACTGAGCCACAATTCGCTCAAACAGTTTAGGCAAGACACTCAACTTGGCAATGCCTCTGTAGTTCTCTACAAGTTGCCTATTACCACTTTTGTGAATAGGAATAAGGAAACAAGTCTTCCAACGTAAAGGGAAAACACCTGAATTCAAGG